AGGATGGAAGGAGTAGTAGGGATATAAAGCAGAGGATAGCGCAGGGTCGTGTCGCCTTTAATAAAAAGAAGTCACTTCTATGCTCGCGAACGGTTAATTTAGAAATTCGAAAAAGGTTTTTAAAGGTCTGTGTTTGGAGCACGGCGCTGTACGGGTGCGAAACGGGGCAGTGGGTGCGGCACAAAAGAAAAGGTTAGAAGCGTTTGAAATGCGGTGTTACAGGCGAATGATGAGGATACTGTGGGTAGAGAAGGTTAGAAATAAAGAGGTATTAGAAGGAATAGGAGAACAGAGGACTTTATGGAAGTGAATAAGAAATAGGCGAGATAGGTTGGTAGGACACCTTCTCAGACATGAAGATCTAGTCAGAGACACATTAGAGACAGAAACAGGAGTAAGAAGAAGAGATAGACCTAGATTAGATTACTGTTCGCAAATAGTTAAGGGTGTGGATTGTTCTAGTTTTAGAGAAATGCGAAGATTAGCTTAGGATAGGAAAGAGTGGAGGTACGTGTCCAACCAGTCTTAGGATTGACAGCCTTATGATGATAAATGAATGATCTATCTGTTTGTCCTATATATATAAAATATATTACAAGCCAATTCATTCAAAAATTAGTTCCATTAAGATGTTGGAGAATACATCATTTCTTTGTTTTGTGTTTGTAGATATTTTGAAATGAAATTACCTTGATTACAATGGAGGGGTAGAACTTTTTAAAGTTGTGGCTTATAAATACGAATTTAGAGCTGTTTTTTCCCCAAAAAGAAAAAATTACTTATGAAATTTTTACCATAACTTAGAGTGCCTAATGGAATAATTTTGTTGTTTAAAAGACTCGTTAGCAGTTAACAACATAAACAAGCGGTGTGCCAAACCGTTTCATTAGAATGAAAATCCGAGTTCATTTTGTATGTAAAAACTGTTCCAATTTGTCACACGACTAGCCCCAAAAGAACGGTTGTTTATCAAAGGATTCAGCTACATGTAGGGTTCTTTTTAGTTTGACCTCTCCCCTTCAGTTTTAGTGAATGGTACAATTACCGTGAGCTTTCAATTTCTGTAGTTCTTTGGTCTGAATTGCTGTTCAAATAATAAATACACGTATCAAACATAGGCAACAAAGTTCAATGAGAGTACCTCGTCAATGCAGTTTGTTATCTGCTGCAATTGAAGAATTTTTTGTCAGAGATACAATCGAGAAAGATTGCAATACAAAGTGAAAAATGTAATTCTCTTTTTGTGACATACAATCGATTGACATTATTACTACACTTTTTGACTTTAAACCACCATAATCTACTGTGAAAATTCTTTTACCAGATTGTTATCAGGTTGAAAAATTAAAAATATTTGTTGTTGGTACTATAAATTTATGACACTTTTGTGTTTTGTTTTTCATTTATCGAAATTTGAAACTTACATAATTTTCTTATTCAAATCTTGTGATTCCATAATGATAACAATAAAACGATCAAATATTTAAGTTGCAAAACATTTATTATAACCTTAATGCTACTAATGTTGTGGTACTTGCAATTATAGGGCTTACAGAGGTCAAACATGCAGGTATTTTAGAGATAGAATTCAAGACCACAAAAAAGGTTTGCAATTAAAAACACTAAGTCGACAGCTAATCTATAAACTTTTGGATGATCCTCTCTATCTCCACAAGGAATCTTCATGGCTGTATTTATTGTTGACTCTAGGGTAGTTAAGAGGGTAGGCTTCTATATTTGAATAATTTTGTTACTTTAGAATCCATACAGTAAATATGATTTTAATTAATAAAAAGAAACTTTATTACCCAAATTACAATAAACAAATAAATAATTGTTCAGGTATATCACAAACCTTATACATAGTTAATCTAATTAAGTAACTATATGATATTATTAACTTATCACAGTGACGACAACATTTTCTATGTATTACTTTTTTTTCGTATAAATATGTAGGCAACAATAATTATTGATATATAATAAAAAATTAACAATTCGTGTTTTAACTATTAGGTGCTCACTTTTAATTAAAGTTGTTGATTAAAAGAAAGTTCATCTTTTTTAATAACCCATTAGTTATTTACTAGTTATTATTTAAAAAGTTCCAAACAAAATCAGAATAAAATTAGTACATAATAATTGAGTAATTAGCAACATTTAGATTAATATGTTAGAACAGTGTATTTATCACTTCTTGTTAACATTCAATTTGATTATTTTTGCGTAGAGTAATGCCCAGGTAATAAACAAGTGCATAATATAGATTAATGACATTTCTAACAGACTGTTTTGGGATATTCCAACGGTGTAAAACCAACATGGTGTCACAATTTAGGTTATGTTACAGCCGCCATTATTTGTTATAGATACTGCATGTTCTGTTATTGATGCATTCTTCTTAAAAATGTACACAATATTTAGAAGAAATGGTAACCTGACAATTGTAACTACTAAATTCAAATTGTGACCCCATTTTGGATACTTAGATTTAGATATGTCAAAACAATTCCCGTAATAAGGAAGTCACTTACCTTCTATTTGACAATGAGTCCTTACCTGAGCACTGTTCTATCAGTAAAAGGAAGAGAGAATATTGTTCGTTCACTTAGAGAAAAATACAGGGTGGATGATGCGTATAAACGAAGCATCGGTAGCTGGCTGTCCCCGCAGTATGGCCGGTCGCTTACCGTCAGATGTTTCGGATCAAAACCCAACCGTAAGGCCACTTTTACACAGTGCGATAACGACACGATTTACCGCATGCGGTAAATCGCAACAACACAAAAGTATATCCAAAATAAATGTATTTAAAGCGAACGCTTTAACACTGATGCGATCCGATATTAAAATCCTTGAAGTGAAAAATATCGCAAATATATTCCGATTTGTATTAACAAATAGTGCGATAAAAATACTGCACGACACGTAATATTTAATGTAGCCAAATGTACGCTTTGACACATATCGTGTGTTGCACCAATCGTTGTCCACGGTTGCCAATACTCATTAACATGTCTTTCTCAAAGAAAAAAATATTCAATTACAAAATAGTCGATTTAATAGAATTACTGTTTTTCACTCCATTAGATACAATCAATTAAACCAGACAACAGTGAGAGGATAGGTAGGCTTGTATTTCAACTTGGAACGTTGCCGAAACAGTATGAAGTTGCATAATTAAAAGCGATACGATACGACAAATCGCGTGCAGTAAACCGTGTCGATATCGCCTTGTGTGAAAGTGGCCTAAGCCTCTGGCGTCGTAAATTTCTAACAGTTACGCCCATTATAACAGTTTGCACACATCGATCTGGCATCGTGTACCTTTCTCTAAGTGAGCGGACTCTAACAGCGTTTATTTGTAATTATTACGTACACTTATTAGCACAACAGTTCTTCTGTAAATCAAATTACACTATTGTATTTTCACTTTAACAATTTCAGTTCGTCATACGGCACTTCCAGAGTAGGAAAAGGTGGTAGTTCTTTTACTAAAGTCAACATAACCGCTTTCAGGACACTGAAAAGCTTCAAATTTGATAGTTCTTTTTTTCTGTCTGGGATGTTGTAACGTTTTACTTTTAACGGAGAAACTACTTGAACTGTTTGAGCTCGAGCTACCCAGTTCTGAAACGCCCAGAAAGCCCTCATGTACTAAAGTACCGCCGTGGGGCATAGTTCCATATTTAAGGCTGTTCGAATGGGGAAAAGCGTTACAATAATTTAAGCTGCTGTGACTGTAGTTTTTAATTTGGATGGGAACGGTTTGACCGTAAAAATTATTAGCCGAGTTTGATGGTTTACTGTTAATGATTTCGTCTTTTTTATCCGTCGAACTTTTTGAACTACTCGTAGGGGTTAGTTCTAAAAGTTTGTTTGTCGAGCAAACGTCCGGGGGCGTTCTGCTCAATAGAGGTCCATATTCGGAGTCGTGTTTCGCCTGCTTGTGGTCCATGTTCGCATAAACAGAACGATTAGGAGAGTAAGTATGAGTCATTACATAATCACATGATAATCTCTGATGTTCTTTCAATTTTCGATCAGCACCTGGTACCATAACTCGTACCTGAAACAAAGAAAAAGCTTTTTGGGCTTCCCAACTAAAACAAGGTTTATGTACAATTAATATTACAAAAAGTGGGCTACCTTATCATAACATAGTAAACGAATCAAAATGTAATACAGATATAAGTGAAGACTCATAATGAGCTCGTTGTTTTCATGGATTTTAGTAAGTGAAAGCATTAACCAATTTAAAAGATCCTGATATGTTTGAAGATTTACGAATAAATCAGTTATGAATATGACCAGTCCAAATTTGGAGCAAAGCTTTCTAACTCTAATTATCATGAATCCGCTGGCAAATTGTGCTTAAAGTATAAAAGAAATTGTTTGGGTAAACACAATGGCGAAAGAATTACGTTCCGTCTCTCTTTTCAATTAAAACATATATAAAAATAAAGGTAACAGGTATATGTCGTTATGTTCAATATAAAACACCTTTGATAAATTGAGCGCGCGGCGAGTACACAACGAAACTGCGGCCAGTACAAAACGAGACTGCGGCGAATACACAACAAGACTTCGGCGAGGACAAAACGAGACTGCGGCGAATACACAACTAGATTGCGGCGAGGACAAAACGAGACAGCGGCGAGTACACAACGAGACTGTGACGAGGCTAAAATGAGACTGCGGCGAGTACACAACAAGACTTCCGCGAGGACAAAACGAGACTGCGGCGAGTACACAACGAGACTGCGGCGAGTACAGAAGGAGACTGTGACGAGGACAAAACAAGACTGCGGCGAGTACACAATATGACTTCAGCGAGGACGAAACAAGACTGCGGCGAATACACAACAAGATTGCGGCCAGGACAAAACGAGACTGCGGCGAGTACACAACGAGACTGCGGCGAGTACACAAGGAGACTGCGGCGAGTACACAACGAAACTGCGGCGAGGACAAAACGAAACTGTGGCGAATATACAAGGAGACGTCCGCTTTGTAAAAGACTTGTATACTATTCGATTAACAGAATGGTTTATGTGGATCTCGTTCGGACGTACATCTATTATTTGATTGATTAATTGATCATATTATTTCTAACAGACTTTAACGCGCCTTGCACATTTAATTTTCACCATGAGAATTATGATTACTCATGCTGATCTCGTTTCATGATTAGGTCTAAATGAATTTTAGAAATTTGTGTAGAGAGTTGACAAAGTTATTTTCAGTTTCCTTTCGATATAGATTTTAAAGACTTGCAACTTTGTTTATTTAGAACAAAATTTTTTCTTCCATAGTTGTGAAGTTGTATACGTTAGATAATTAAAGTCGAAGTGCAACTAAAGTAATTTAGCTTTTAGCGTTTTAAGAGTAATAAAATTACAAGTTGCCTATTTAATTAGCAAAATATAGGTATGCTCGACTAATTTATAGTCTGCTGCTTCTATAAATGTAAAGTTCCTGGGTAAGCTTTTGGTTTTTAAAGGCAATGCAGCTCGTGTATTAATTAGACACAAATTAAGACTTTCGTTTGCAATTTGAGCGTATTCAAATTGCAGCAGGAACCATAATTCACTTTAAAAAGACATTTGGAGTTGCTGCGATGGTGTTCTTTGACCATAAAGAATTTAGTTGCTGTTGTTTTTTGATCTCCAATTCTGTGTAGCAGCAGGTAATAATAACTTATTTTCATAATCTATTGTTGTTTCTTTACTGAAGTAAAATTCTTAATTAGCCATAAAAATAAATAATATTTTTTAGTTCTAGTTGATCTCCTAAGACCGCCCATCGAGAGCTCTTCTCGTTCAAGCTTGTTCCAACTATTTCTATCTTGCTCACGCCTAGTGTGTATTCTTTCTATCTTCGCGCAGATTTCTTCAAGGTCACAATTCTAACAAATTGAAATAGACTGTATTAACCTTGAAATATGACCCAAATTACAGCCTTAAGAAATTTTCAGTAGGGATTTCGCAATTTTTTTAAAGTACAGTAGTGTTTCTTTTGAATTTTCAACTACATTGTCGTTGCTTTTAGTTTACCGTCTAAAGTTTTGAAACAAAGTCAAACAGTATTCTGTATATTCGCAAGTAAGATTGCCAGGTGATTAAGCTAAAGTTAAAAGCTCTTTAGTTGGAAACTATATCCCTAAACTTCCTGCATTAATTAGGTAAATTTAAATCTTTGTACCTACATATCCCTTTATAGTTGTGGGGGATTAAAGTTTAAATACAGTCGGTCACGTTTCCTAAACGATGATGGATTTCAGGTGAAGAGCGAGGAAGTTTTGTCGAGCGACTTCATCAAAATAACTGCTCGACTATTAATAAACGGTTAGATAATTCAGAACAAACGAGAGTGCATTTGTGGAAATTAAATTGTGGGAAATAATGAAGTGCAAAGTTGAGACGTTTAGGAAAGGAGGACGTCTCAGACGTTTCGGCAAAAGTGACACCTCAATTTGCAATGGGACTGAGATGAAGTGTCGCTATTAATCTTTGGCGAATCACGTAAAGCAGGCACGCTCCGCTAATGTTTACAGTTTGAGCGAAGGAATAATTCCTTAAGATTAAACTGCGTGAGAAGTGGAAGAAAGACGAGAGTCTCGTAAATAACTACCGAACCGATAAGGCGCTGCTACGTACCTCTTTGGGTGTATATTTTACTGAACTTTACAGACAACTTAATAGCATCCCTCAAAGATTTACTATTAAGGATAAATAAATGTTTATTTATCGAAGAAGTTTACCGAAGGAATGCTAATTGTTATAAAGATATGTACGTTATTGAATGGGTTGAACTGTTATAGGTGCAAGGGTATTTATTAAAACTATATTGAAACAACCCTGAAGATGTCTTGTCAGTTCGAGGATGAAACTTAATGTGGTACAAACTGAGATTTATATATTTTACAGGAAAAACGGTGCCCAAACTTGTGGACCTTATCAAAAATCATTTCGAAACCGATGTTGGTTATACACTTCTGGTTTTAATCATCCATTCTTGAACTTGCATTCATTTTATGTTGCTATTCATCTTCTAGGAATTCTATCATGTGTATATGTATTTCTTTCCTCAATTATACGCATTTAACTATGTTGCTTATTAGTCCAATAGGATAATTAATACGTTCAAAAGGCCTTTTTCAAATTCCAAATCTATTGATGAAGAAACCGTGGATAGAAAAATTGAAAATGAAGAGATACTTAAAAGAATAGGAGAACAACAAGGGCGCAACAATGAAAAGGATAAATAGGATTATACAGGACACTTTCTGCGTCATGAAGGGCTAGCTGAAAGCACGTTTAATCCTTTCTTCTACGGAAAAAGTTTAAACTAAGTGAGATCTATTGTCTACCATGATCTACAATTTGGAACAGATCATTGATTTTTAACAAAGATCTTGACAGATTTCCCGACGTCTGAAGTATAATAACTTACTTTTTTACAAATCTCCCCGGATCTTAGATCAGGAATAATCACTCTTAAAAATCGGTAAAGTTATATAACTATTCAATTTAGCGATCAATAAGTTCAATCAACGAATTGATTCAGCTAGCCTATGGGCTTGCCATTATCCTTTCTCTATGTTTCAAAAAATTGAAAACAAGTCCTGATTTGATCCTTAATCCTTACCATTCACCACATCATTTTTGGTTTAGTAGATATCGAAAGAATGTCTTCAATCGGGATAAGTCTTTTCCGGTTACGTTGACGGCACTGCTTTCGACGGGATGCTTACAAAGTAAGGTTGTAATTATACTTTAAAATTTTAATCTTTTTCGCCTTCGTCAACCCTGTCGATCACAAAGCGCACGGTCTCAAAGTAAATCATTAATCATCGAGCATCCTTCTTTGTGCTCATCATATTAAAAGACTGAGAAGTTGGCGACGCACTCGAAAGAGATCGATCATCTCGGAATAATTCTCAGGGCTAACTTCATTTACTGTTTTTCATACGCATTATTACGGGACCGCTAATCTCTCACAAACTGAACGCTAATATTTCTTGTGAAGATAACATATGTACAATACCTATATGAAGAGGGTAAAAGTAAGTATTCAAAACTTTCAATTTGATATTCAACATTTTACAGGGAAAGCGATTTCATTGTTTCTAAGAAGAAAATAGGAGAGGGTAATTATGGTGTATACTCTGTTGGAATTCCAAGAATTCCAGGCTTTTCTTTTTCTTTGTTCAGATTAGCGATGATTTGCTAGGAATTATCAAATAGGAGAGGGTTAGCTTTAGGGTAATTATGGTGTATACTCTGTTGGAATTCCAAGAATTCTAGGCATTTCTTTTTCATTGTTCAGATTAGCGATGATTTGCTAGGAATTATCAAAATTTATTGGAACTGTGGAATTTCGAAGAATTTATTTTTAGTCCTTACGGAATTACCATTAATTATGGTGTACACCCTGTTGGAATTCTAAGAATTTCCTTTTACGTAAAGGAATTAAGGCAATTAATTCAGAAAAGTGAGGAGTTATTAGGAATTATCAAGATTCAATGGAACTATCGTGGAATTTCGACGAATGTATTTACATTTGGTAGAGAAATACGGCTAACATCTTTTGTGAAGATAATATAGGTACCTGCATTATGGGTATTACGTGAGAATTACCAGGGTTCATCAAAACTGTCGTGGAACTTTGAAGAATGCATTTCTGGTAGGTTGAGGATTACCGCTAAGATCTCTTGCGAGGATAATATACGAGGGCGGTTCAATAAGTAACCGTGTTAGACATGAAGACACTTTTTTTTTAGTTTTTTATTTTTATTTTTCAACATAGTCCCCTTTTAAAAAGATACACTTCTCCCAACGACACTGCCATTTTTTTACCCCTCCAAAAAATAAGATTTGTCGAACTCTCCAAAATCCCCCCTGTCTCGGCGATGACTTCCTCGTTTGAGCTAAATTTCTTTCTGGCTAGTCATTTCTTCATGGNTGCATGTTACTTATTAAAATGTAATGAAGTAAACAGATTTATTAATTTACCTCATTTTCGTAATAAAAATTGGTGCCATTTCAAGTTGTGTCCATGTAACTC